CACCAGAATCTTTTTTGGGGGCACCTGTCGCCTGTGGCTTTGCCACCTGTTTTAAAGAACAGTGTTTCGTTTTAGCCCTTATTAGTGCCTTTTGGGGTTCCCAATCCCCCAAGCACAGCTTTTTCACGTGGCTCCTTTTCGCCTGCAGCGCATTACCCCAGCTGCACCGGAGATAGAGGCCTCTGTGGTTGCCATGGGTGCCTCTCGCCCATGCTGCTAGCCCCTTGAAGGAAGCAGACCCACACAGCCTTCCTTTAAATAACCTGAGCCACGCTCTCGGTGCTCCGCACAAGCAGGTATCTGCCCCGGGAGGCGGCGCCTGGGCTCACTTTCTCTGCAGCACATACCTGGCTGCTGAAAAAACCAATACGGGACATGCAAAATGTCTTTTGCAGTAACTACCAAAGTTACTTCTGCCCCTCGTTTATGGCCGAATGAGACAGGTGGCAGAGCTTGCTAGACCAGCAGCCCCTAGCTGTAGCTGGCAGCCTAGTTGGTATCTTTTGATACCAAATTATCTTGGCCGGCAACCTTTTGGCATATCAGCTGCTACCTTGCAGTATCTTCTGGCCCTGTGCACCTGGTTTTCTCATCCTCAGCTGGCATCCCATTGCTTTAGGATCATGCACAGCCACCAGGGGGTGCCAGAGAAACGTGCAGGGACACAAGAGGCTCAGTAAACTTCCTATTGAAATACCTCTGCCGTTTCCACGTGGACCCCTGTCCTATCACCATCTCCTAACAGCCAGAGCATAGCAAGCTGGTATGGCTTGCCAAATCGACAGCCGTAGTTGGTTGCGACTGCCGGCAGCCCTAAATTGCTGGCTTGCCTCTACCTTGGTTGGGTGATGGCTCTGTAGTCCTTCCTTCTCTCTCTCTCTCTCTTTTACCCCCCTCCAATTGCTTTGGTCGCTGGGAGGCAGGATCTGGAACACACGGCTGTGGACACTCGCGCACGAGCAAATGCCCTGAGTTCTAATGTACGCCTGGCCCAGGATGATGCCCTGAGAGCCAAGAACTATCTGGAGCGGGCCAAGATCGCCACGGAGTGAGTAAGCATGGGGGGAAGCTCTACAGACGGTGCCTGCTCTGCCTTGCACATTCTACAGACCCATGGTACTCCCTGATCCTGGAGCCAAACCCTTGTAAAATTCCACCTCCAGCATGATGAAGGTGTCTCAGCCCAGTATTCCTGAAGGAGCATCTCCACCCCCATTATTCAGTCTGGACACTGAGGTCCAGCTCCAAGGGCGGTTCCCTCACTGCGAGAAGCGAGGTTACAGGGAACCAGGCAGAGGGCCTTCTCGGTGGTGGTGCCCACCCTGCGGAACGCCCTCCCATCAGATGTCAAGGAAATAAACAACTAACTTATTTTCAGAAGACATCTGAAGGCAGTTCTATTTAGGGAAGTTTTTAATGTCTGATGTTTTATTGTGTTTTTAATATTCTGTTGGGAGCTGCCCAGAGTGGCTGGGGAGATAGGCGGGGTATAAATAATAAATTATTATCATCATCATCATCATCATCATCATCATCATCATCATCCAAGGGTAAATGCATTAATTAGGGCTATCAACTGATTGAAGACATTTTAACCGACTAACCAAATGAGTTTTACTTAATGATAAATTAAATCTGCATGCAGCTAAACCTAACTTGGGTGGTGGTTGTTTAAGATAATGCTTAGCTTTCCACATAGGACACACCCACTCAAAATTTAAAACGCGCAGATGCTCGCACAGAATCCTGGGAGCTGTCGTTTACTTCTCACAGGGTGACGGTTCCCAGCACTGTTCACAATTACAGTTCCCAGGATTCCTTGGGGTCGAGTGCTTTCAATGTGCGGGACACTCTCTCTCCCACTCTGCTCTTCCCATCAGCTGAGTTGGGAAAGCCAAACCACAGAGTGGCCGCCTGAGTCAGCGTTCGTGGTTTGTTCTCGCCAAAGAAACCACCGCTGGGATACTGAAAAGCAAACCTCGACTTCGGGTTGTGGTTTGTTTAGAAATAAAAACAAGCCGCAAGTGCTGGTTCGGATGTGATGGTAAAAGCCAGCCACTCTGCGGTTTGTTTCGCTGTTCAGCTAAGGGAAGGGCTGAGTTCAGGCTCCCTGCACCAGTGCACATCAAAACTCATGCATGGTTGCGGTTAAATGACAGGCTCAAATGATGGGGCAGGAGGGAACCAAACAGCTCATGATGGGGTACTGGTTAGTAAGGCTGCCTATCAGCCGGGATCTGGTGGGGGGACACACACAGAATGGCAGGTTGTGGGTCTATAACCCTAAGCAGCCATCTCAAATGCTTCTCCTTCTCCTTTCTTGCAGTGATAAGGCCACTGCCCTGGATTACCTCCAGAACAAGCTGAGTTCCCTCCACTCACAGCTGTCCCTGGTCTCCCAGGAGGGAGGGCCCCAGTCCCCAGCGGCCTCCACCACTTCCTCTGTAACCCTCGCCAAGCGGAACTCCTGCCCTTCCGAATTAAACCGTGACCCCCAATAAAAGAGAGATGGCTGTGACTTAAAAGCTGTCCACCTCGTCCATTTGGAAGCCAGGGAGCGGCTCCAGGGGAAGAACCAGAGAGGGGACCTCTTTTGCATTTGCTCCACTGCCGAGCCTGGAGGGAGCCAGTCGAGGAACTGGCTGTAGAATTTACGGGTGGAATTCAGTGCGTCTTTATGATTTGATCATTTGCTGTCAAGCATAAGCCTTTCCATTTCCTAGACAGAGTGCTCTCCCATCTTTTCCTCCTGCTGCCTTTCTGGGGGTTCTCCCACCCACCCACTCCCAGCATGAATTTGGGGGAGACACAAGAGTAGCAGGGTGGTGGAAGCCCCATGGCACCATTGGGATGGGGTTAGTTGAATCTGGCCCTATGTGCTGGGTGCATACAGTTTTATTCCAGCAGACCACAGCTCAGTGCGGGAGGGTGGGAGGCGGGAGGCAAGGGGATGGATGGATAGCAAGGGAAGCTGTGGGGAGGTGTAGATGTACGGAGCGAGATTAGAGAAGCTGCAGGTGATGGTTGCATGCTTCAATCTTCCTCTGCTTGCGGCTGCCCTGCTCCAAATCCCCAGCAGCTTTTGCCCTGTGCCTCATTTTCCAACACAGGGAGCATGCATTTTAAACCCTGCCAGGGGGTCCAGTTGCGGGCAAATGTGGAGTGGTGAATAACTTTACACTCATTGCTTCTCCCTGTCTAATTTGCTCCCTCTGGGAGTGGCTTTTCCTCTTCGAAAAAGAGCACAGCCTGCAATTGCCATCTTTCTCGCAATATGCAGTTTGGGCCTCTGAACTTCGTGCAGTTTGCAGTTTGCTCCATTCACAGTGTCTGGGGAAGGAGTCGAAACGTGGACCTGTTTTCCTTTGCTTGAGATACCTGGCAGAGAGACCCAGCTCTGCACCTGAGCTGTCAAGCAAACATGAGAACTGTCACACACGCGGTGATGGCAGTCGAGCCGGCAGGAAGCCAGCAGGTCCCTCTGCAGGAATGGCTTTCCCTACCATTGCCTCCTATGAAGGCAGCAGGCCACCTTTTCGAAAGCTGGCTTGGCACATGTGAACCAAGTACAGTTTCACGTGGACGTTGAGAGACCTGAAGGATGTGTTTTGCTACGAACTTGCGTTCTCAGAAGGCGAGGCAGTGTGGTGAGGTCCAGTGCAGGCACTTCTCCTGGCAGCTGCAACGGATAGTAAACCTGGGCATTTGGGCACATACAAAGCAGCTGTGTCTAGTTCCAAACACCCAACACGCTCATACTTCCGACCTGCTTTGTGCTGTAATTGCACAAAGGCAAGCACTGCTTCTAAATACCCTTCACTGCCCGTGACGGCAGCCTGGAAGAACCCAGAATTCCCAAGATTCAGGCAGCATCGGAGGTATATAAAGCACACACCACTTTAATTAGCCCATGGCTTCCCCACAAAGAGTCCTGGGAACTAAGAGTGCTGAGCGTTCTTAGGGGACCCCTGTACCTGGAGAGATACACTTCCCAGAGCTCCCTGGGAAGAGGGATCGATTGTAAAAGCACTCTGGGAATTGCAGCTCTTTGAGGAGCGTTGGGGTCTTCGTTAACAACTCTCAGCACCCTTAACAAACTACAGTGGTACCTCGGGTTAAGAACTTACCGTATTTTTCGCCCCATAGGACGCACCGGCCCATAGGACTCACCTAGTTTTTTGGGGGGGAAATAAAGGGGGGGAATTATTTTCCCCCCCAGGTGCGCTGTGCTAAACCCGAAGCTTGGGGCGTGCGGAGCTAAGCGCCCCCAAGCTTCTGGGTGCTGGCAAGGTCTCCGCTAGTCTTATAGGGTGAAAAATACGGTAATTCGTTCCGGAGGTCCGTTCTTAACCTGAAACTGTTCTTCACCTGAAGCACCACTTTAGCTAATGGGGCCTCCCGCTGCCAGAGGATGATTTCTGTTCTCATCCTGAAGCAAAGTTCTTAACCCCAGGTACTATTTCTGGGTTAGCGGAGTCTGTAACCTGAAGCGTCTGTAACCTGAAGCGTATGTAACCTGAGGTACCACTGTACAGTTCCCAGGATTCTATGTGGGGAAGCCATGGCTGCTAAAGTAGTGCAATAGAACCTCAAACTCTTCTCACTGAATCACAGCCCTCCATCTTATGCTCTTCTACTGTAATAAAAGGAACAGGACCCTCCCTCACCCCGTCCTCCCTTATCTTAGGCACTAACATTCCATTTCACATATTGCAACATCCAGACCTGGCATTGAAAACAGGCCTTTGGCTTGAAACTAAGCCTGAATTGCAAAACAGAACGGAATGGTGAGCAGCGTTCTCTTGCGACAGAAGCTGAAAGCTGCCACATTCTGCCACACACTTCCCGGAAGCAGAAAATGCTAAATGGGGCAACATACTGCCTCCCCAGAGCTTGGGCTGCTCTGTCCCTCCTCTCGGCTTATGCCACCCCCACCCCCCAGCCGCAGCTGACAACCTGCACCGGCCATCACCTCCCAGTTGACAAAAGGCCACACGTGATTCCGTTTTGTAAGATCTCCCGCCCTGTGGTTTTATTCAGGTCTGTGACGCTAGCAAAACAAAACAAAACGAAAAAACCCACCTTCTGCCGCTCTTCGCAACTCAAATTTCCCCAGAGGCGTACAAAACCCTGCAATAAATTAAGACCAACTTTCCCTCCCTGCACCAACTTTGTGGGGATTCCTGGATCCCCAGAATTGGAGGAGAGGGGGTCCCCCTCTAAATATCACCCATCACCCCATCCGCAGTGCCTCAGGGGAACAGAGGGTCAGCGGCAGACACAGGGAAGGAATCCTTTGAATGGGTAGTGCTAGAAAGGGGACGCAGCCCAGCTGCTGTGGGTGGAAGTGGTCGGGGCGGGCAAGGAAAAGAGCTTCTTAGCTGCTGGAGAGAAGAAGGGGAAAGGGAACTGCTGCTTCTAAAACACCCTGGGATGGCCGCAATGGGAGCACTTAAGATTTCCCAAGAGCCACTCTTCTGTTCTAAGCGAACCACAGTCCTCCATCCACACATGTGCCCTAGAAGAAGCAAGATTTTGCTACCAGCCGCAACCCGTTTTAGACCTCTACCAACCCAAAAGCAGGGAGATGCTGAGCAGTGGGAGAGGGTCGTTTGCCCATGTGGCATCCGGCACAGGGTCCAAATCTCCCAAATCCGAGAACGGAAGAAGGGCGTGCCCGTCCATTGTGCTTGTGGGAATCCTCAGGCAGGCCTGGCCCCTCTTCATCCCCCGCTTCAAAATGTTCCTGCAGATCAGAGGACAGAAAACACACACACACACTCCAAAATGTGTCTGGGGAGCTGGCTGTGTAAATCCCGCGGGCGTTTATTCAGTCACTGGCCACGACCGGCGGGGGAGTTTTTGTCCAGTTGGAAAAGGGCCAAGACATCCACCATGGCCTTCCGGATGTTAAGTCCAAACCGGTGTGCGTCCTGGAGAAAGAAGCGGGGGAGGTGAGATCAGGGAACTCGACACGCCTAAAATATTTCAAAGGCTGAGCTTACTTAAAAAAATGGGAAATCTGGTGTGGAAAGTTTCTTGCTCCGAAAAAGGAGAGCAAGTTGCCCCAGTTATCCCTCCAGATGGCTCAAGCAAGTAAGCAGTGGGAAAAACCAAGGGAAGAGTAACCAAGAGTTACTAAGCAATCTAAGCCGAGGAAGAAATCAGACAGGAGCGAGGCAGAAGTAAACCGCACTGAGCAAGTTGGAGTTAACTCTTCATTAACAAAAACAGGAGTATCAGGCCTAATGAGCGCAGCAACTCTTCTTTGATATGTCTTGCCCCCATGAAGTAGTTGCAGAGATAGAAGCCTTCTCACAGCTGCCCAAGTCCCCTCCTCTTCAGGGTTTTCCCCATGCAATCTGAGATACTGCCCATGTGAAGCTAACTCCTCCGCCCTTTTCATGCCTCTACTGGTTCTGGGAGACCGAAGGGGAGGAAAGCTGGTTGCAGAAGGAGGGGGAAGACACCTGGAACTCTTCACCAGCCACATTCCTCTCCTGCTTCAGCTCTGTCTTCTGATTCTGGACTTCTCTCCGCCACTTGCACAGCTGTCTAAGTCCCCTCCTCTCCAGGGTTACCCCCCAAGCATTCTGAGACTGCATCTGTGTGCCTGGCCTTTGCTCCTCCCACTTCATGCCTCTCCTGGTCCTGGGAGACCAAGGGGAAGGGGAGCTTGTTGCAGCAGGAGGAGGAGACACCCATGATTCTTCACCAGCCTGACTCATCTCTGCCTCTTGGCCTCCCTCATCCCACTCTCCGTCTGCTTCTGGCTTCTCTCTGCCACAGACTCTCCCTTCTCATTAAGCCCTGTCACCCCTTCAGCTTCTGACTCCTCCTGCTCCCAATCTGCTCCCTCTTCTCCCTCTGACCACTCATTGCTGTCCCACTACCACTCCCCAGACTCTGAACCTTCTTCCCTTGGTGGTTCCCTAGCTGGTTCCTCGCACCATTGCTCCGCAGCCAACCAGTCCGTGACAAAATGTTCCCTGAGCCACTGCCTCCCCGCAGACGATACAGGTGGCTTGTAAGAATCTCAGTGTCTACCAAGCCCTGCCTGCTGAGCATCCATTGAGGCACCCTATCACCCCAGCATGGCTTGTGTGCTGGCACACACTTACCGTCTCCTTGCTGGAGAATTTGCACGACACGTGGAAGTTTATGAGATCTTCGCCCACGATGACGTACGACACGCCATAACCGTCATCGTCGACCTGCCCAGGCGTGGAGAGAAAGGGGGAAAACAGCCTGAGAAAGAAACTCGGATCCCAGACCTTTGTCCTCTCCTACATCCGACACAGCAGCGTTCCTGGAGGATGCAAGAGAGTCCTGGCTCTCAGACCGCCAGCTCTAAGTCACTCGGCCACCACTTTCCACCATCCCCCACAGAGAACCCTGGAGGCCTGAGCTTAATAAATAATAATAATAATAATAATAATAATAATAAATTTATACCCCACCCATCTGGGTGGGTTTCCCCAGCCACTCTGGGTGGCTCCCAACAGAAAATAAAAAACATGATAAAACATCAAACATTAAAAACTTCCCTAAACAGGGCTGTCTTCAGATGTTTTCTAAAAGTCAGATAGTTGTTTATTTCTTTGACATCTGATGGGAGGGCGTTCCACAGGGCAGGTGCCACTACCGAGAAGGCCCTCTGCCTGGTTCCCTGTAACCTCACTCCTCACAGGGAGGGAACCGCCAGAAGGCCCCCAGTGCTAGACCTCAGTGTCCAGGCTGAACGATGGGGGTGGAGATGCTCCTCCAGGTATACTGGGCCGAGGCCATTTAGGGCTTTAAAGGTCAGCACCAACACTTTGAATTGTGCCCAGAAATGTACTGGGAGCCAATGTAGGTCTTTCAAGAATGGTGTTATGTGGTCTCGGGGGCCCCTCCCAGTCACCAGTCTAGCTGCTGCATTCTGGATTAATTGTAGTTTCTGGGTCACCTTCAAAGGTAGCCCCACATAGAGCACATTGCAGTAGTCCAAGCGGGAGATAACCAGAGCATGCACCAGCATGCAAGACAGTCTACTCACCGGTCCAAATCCACCCCCAAAAGAAACATAGTCTGGGTGGTTCTGGAGGTCAAAGAGCTCCATCTGCTGAATGGGAGTCTGGCTGGTGGAGAGTCGCCACGGCTCGGACAGCACCTGGCAGAGGGGAGAAAGGGGCCGAGGATCAAACGGGTGAGGGGCTCTGCCACAATGGGTACCCTCTCCCCCACCCCACCCTTGCTGCTCCCCACAGAACCTCTCCCCTCAAAACTGTATCTTTCAGGAGGGCCTGTGACTCCTCAGCCCAAACTGGTCCTCTTAAGCATTGCTAGGATCAGCAACGCTATTTATTTTTATTTATCTAGGGCCTGCCTATACAGTGGACACTCGGGTTGTGAATGTGATGCACATTTGCAACTCGCAGCATTCGCAACCCGCAGCAGCACGTCTGCACACACGCGGGTTGCAATTCGGCACTTCTGAACAAAGTGCGATTTGGCGCTTCTGCGCATGCGCGACCGCCGAAACCTGGAAGTAACCCATTCCGGTACTTCCAGGTTTTGGCAGGTCCGTAACCCGAAAAAACGCAACCTGAAGCATCTGTAACCCGAGGTATGACTGTACTGCTTAAAGTTATCTCCAAGCTAAAAAACAGCAAAGGTGCACAATTAAACCGTCAATGCAAATGACTGATAAATAGATATGTATATAAAGTTCCTTCTTCGGATACATGTCCGCACTCAGCACTTCTCAAGCTCTTGGCTCTCACCCAGGAGCCACACACACACCCCAAACTTGGGGCTCGCTCAGGACCTAACAAACTCACTGATCACCCCCCCCAAAAAAGAGGGCCATCACCCAGTTTCCTCACCCTAGGCTTGCTTTTTACACCACTCACCCTGTGAGCTGTGGCATCGGGATGTCAGCACACCCGGGTGCCTGCGACCACCAGCTTTCCAGATTTTGTTTTCGATAAGCAAGGTTCTAGCCCTCAACGTTTCAGGGGAAGAAGACCCTAGCAGCAACCAATGGTGAGGATCTCTCCTATTCCCTTCACTGGGGCAACAGGCTCCTGCTGCCACCTATGTGAGGGAAGGCCGCACCTCTCTGAGACATGTGCGCACATTGCTCAGAAACAGTCCCAGTTCTGCACACGCAGCAAGCCCGACCTGACATGCACCATTAGGGGTGACTCTTGCACAGAAGCTGGTGACATGGGGAAACTGGTGAGACGAGTGTTGGATTAAATCTTCTCCTGCTTCCGGTGCATCCCAGTAAATATGACTCCCGTAGATCCTTCTTTTTTTAAAAACTTTGGTAAATTTCTGAAACTTGCCTGGCCAGGGTGTAGGATGGAACTGACTTATGGTGAGGAGGATTTCTAGGGGAGAATCCGTGGATGAGGACAGGTTCACTAAACAGTCCTCCCTATCGCTCGCCTATCGTAAGCCCTACCGCTACATTTTCTTCTGTCTCAGCTGATGGGTTGGACCACACTGTCGCCCAGATAACATCTGGTTTTGCCTAGCTGCTGCTTCAACAAATAAGTTACGCCTTCAGGGTGAAGATTTGTGTTTCCAACCCTTTTTGCACCTGCCTATCCTTCACCTGAGGGACGCGGGTGGCGCTGTGGGTTGAACCACAGAGCCTAGGACTTGCTGTTCAGAAGGTCGGCAGTTCGAATCCCCGCGACGGGGTGAGCTCCTGTTGCTCGATCCCTGCTCCTGCCAACCTAGCAGTTCGAAAGCACGTCAAAGTAGATAAATAGGTACCACTCCAGCGGGAAGGTAAATAGCGTTTCCGTGCGCTGCTCTGGTTCGCCAGAAGCGGCTTAGTCATTAGTAGAAGCTGCCATGGGTCTCTACCACCACTGCAACCTGCTCTATTGACTACAGCAAAATGCTTCTTTCAAGCCTAAATCCAACAGGGAAATGCGACCCAGTAGGCACCAGAAAAAGGTATCTGTGAACAGTCACGTGTGCCAGCAAGCACCACACTGGCAAATCTCTGCTTCAGATTCTTCGTGGTTCTTCACATCCTAGCAAGGGGTTCCCAAACTCTCTGGCAGACTGAAATTTGAACCAGTCAGCTGTATGAGTCAACATGTCCCCAAATTGCTGGGCGCCCCATGGAAAGTGGAAAAATAAGCAGACTCGCAAGCGTTCCAAGTATGCCATGACCCACCCAGACAACAAATTCGAGCATGCAAAATCCGCAGTTCGTGTTGGCAGTGAAATTCAACACCGATTGAAGACCAAAACGCAAAATATCAATGTGGATGACTAACAAAAAATGACCAAGGCAGATATGTGTCTGTTTAACACCTCTGGATAGAGCAGCCATGGCATGTTTTAAAACTCCTGGGAAAAGGAACCAGAGCAAGCAAAAAAACCTCAGTAAAAGGCAGCATTTTTTGTTAAAAACAAACAAGGTAATTCCAATCAACAGCACAGTGAAGCCAATTTCTTGCTTTTCTTTGATTGGGCAAGAACATGTCAGGTGGGGACTTTCACACTCCTGATTGGTTCAAAATATACCCTGGGAATAAGTACGCCCACATTCCCTAGCCTTACTTTTACATACATGCACCCTAGCACCCTGGGAAGTGGGTGGCGCTGTGGGTTAAACCACAGAGCCTAGGACTTGCCGATCAGAAGGTTGGTGGTTTGAATCCCCGCGATGGGGTGAGCTCCCATTGCTCGGTCCCTGCTCCTGCCAACCTAGCAGTTCGAAGCAGAGCAGTGCACGGAAACGCCGTTTACCTTCCTGCCAGAGCGGTACCTATTTATCCACTTGCACTCTGAGGTGCTTTCAAACTGCTAGGTTGGCAGGAGCAGGGACCGAGCAACAGGAGCTCACCCCGTCACAGGGATTCAGTCATGCGGCTTAGTCATGCTGGCCACATGACCCGGAAGCTGTATGCCGGCTCCCTCAGCCAGTAAAGCGAGATGAGCGCCGCAACCCCAGAGTTGGTCACGACTGAACCTAATGGTCAGGGGTCCCTTTACCTTTACCTTTACCCTAGCACCACACACACACACACACATACACACTCCTGACTCGACAACACTTACCTCGCGCAGAAAGGGTGAGTCTAGGCCGAGATATTTGGAGACGACATACAGACAGAAGAGATGCCTGTCAATACCAGCACCTGTCATGGCGTGCCGGTAAAGGTTCTGGTGCTTCTCAGCTGCCACACGCAACAGACGTAACCTTGTGCCATCCTGGGTATGAACAGCAGGTGAAGATGCTGAGAAAAGCTGATGCTGCACCTTCCACATTTTCTAGTCTCTGCTGATTCCTCCTTTCCTATTGACCTGAAGGATCCCTTCTCCCCATGTGGCCAACCCACAAGAGGCTCTTCTCCGCTGACCCCCCCCCCCAGGCGAGGGGGAAATGGGTGGCTACTGGGGACAGGGCCTTGTCCGTGGTGGCACCCCAATTGTGAAACGCCTTCCCCAGAGGGGCTCACCAGGTGTCTATGGTGTAAGCACACACTGCTCTTTCCTCCCTATCAGGGTCCCATGCATCTATTTGGTGGTAAGGACACTGGGAATCTGGATGGCGGAAGTCACAACATCCAGCAGAGCATCTAATCTGGTGGTATTGGCCTAACTCCCGAGAACACCTGCCTCCCACCTAGTATCAAGTTTCTAGTCCTCGATGAACTAGAATTGGCACTTAGAAGACTTCATTCCAGAAGGCTGGGTTATTCTTAACGTACACGAAATTTTGGATCTGATTCCTCTGGCAAAGGCTGCATTTCAAGACTTACGTTCTGGGTAGGATCCATCATGGCCTTGACAAAGTTGCAAGGACTCAATGGTGCAGGAACGGACTGTTTCTGTGCGGCCCTCCCGGAAGAGACGGGTCATGGATGCCTCGTAGGTGAGGCAGAACTTTTGCTTGTCCTAAAAAAAAATAGGGAGAGAAGAATGCTTGGCTGAGTATAGGGGACAGGCTTGCCTCTGGATCTGTGGGTGGAGTGAGATGGGAAAAGATTTAATCTATAGCTGAGCTATAATGCAGCTGCCACAAATTGTGAGCACAGAACAGCAGCCCTGCTAGGCTAGGGAAAGCTGAGTTGTCATCACAAAATCACAGAAGTCAAATTATCCCATCCTTGCAATCACAACAGAACCAAGAGAGGTGGTGCACTCTATTGCAGATATTAATACTGTACAGCTTGAAGCAAATGGATGCATAAAAAGATTCCTCTTGGAATAAAAATTGCCCAGGCACATAAATATGATTTTGAAGCTTTACAGAATTTTCTTCAAAATAGGTACAGAAACAGATAATGACACATCCAAATAGTTCCATAAGACATGTGCTTGTCAGACTATAGGTTCACCTTAGTGATATTAGATTACTCCAAACAGACCTAAAATCTCTATAGCCTCCATTAGCCTGGAGCTGTTTCTCTCTCCTGGAGAGACTCCTTTGAACATCTTTGTCCCACTGTGGTTGGGAACAAAAGGCCCTTCAAAATGGTGATTTGCAACTAAATACCTTACTCACGTGATCTAAAGTCAAACACCACGTGAAAGAGCAGAGAACACCAACAGTTAATTGTCAATCCATCTAGGAGCTTAGAGAGCTCTTCCTAACTTTAGTATACCTCAACGAAATTTTCCAGTGTTAAATACACTTAGCAATACACATACGGGCATTTTCCATTTTGGTGTGTGCAATTAAACATTAATTATACTGAGCGCCGCACCCCATAGTCGCCTTTGACTGGACTTAAACCATCCAGGGGTCCTTTTTTATACTTAACATACTCTCCTTCCTCGGAGGTTTTTAAGCAGAGGTTTGATGTCATATATGATCTAGTGGAGATCCCTACATTGCAGAGGGTTGGACTAGATGATCCTGGGAGTCCCTTCCAACTCCACAATTCTATGATTCTATGAAAGCCTTTAAAAATAATAAATAGCTCTGGCTGGTTCCCACTGATGGGGGGGGGAAATCTCACAGCCAGCCTGGCCTGGGGAGAAGAGGCTTTGGCTCCCATGCATTTGGCTTGTAGTTGTGACACTTTGGGGGCCAGCCAAGCCTAGGGACTCTGCCTCTTGCCTGCCTGCCTCCCTGCCTGCCAGTACCTTCATCTCGCCAAGCGACATACCCGAAAATGTGCGAGCTGAAGGCAGAGCTGGATGAAGCTGTCTGGGCTGGTGCGGCACTTCTTGATGAGGCCTTTTCCAAATTCCTTGAAGGGGAAGGCGTTGAAGTCTATGTCATTAGCCAGGGCCAAGGCCACGGACAAGGACTGCAGGATTACCTGTTGGCACTGTGGACAAAAGGGGAACAACAGGAGGCAATGAGGACACAGAGCAGGCAGTAGGGGAAGCAGCAACCAACCGTCAGGGCTCACCTGCCAGGTGAGATGGTGCTCATCACAATTCCAGATGGAGTTGCTCTCTTTGCAGCATTTTTTACCTTTGACACTTGAGATGTGCATTTTCAGCACGTACCTTATATATTTTTTGTGATTTTGGTTGGCTACTCTTAGTTTTTGAAACAGTTTTAATGCATTTTTAAACTGTTTTATTGTACAGTGGTACCTCGGAAGCGGCTGGCGCTGGGGGTTAAACCACAGAGCTTAGGACTCGCCGATCAGAAGGTCGGCTGTTCGAATCCCCGTGACGGGGTGAGCTCCCATTGCTCGGTCCCTGCTCCTGCCCACCTAGCAGTTCGAAAGCACGTCAAAGTGCAAGTAGATATATAGGTACCTCTCCGGCGGGAAGGTAAACGGCGTTTCCGTGCGCTGCTCTGGTTCGCCAGAAGCGGCTTAGTCATGCTGGCCACATGACCCGGAAGCTGCACGCCGCCTCCCTCGGCTAGTAAAGCGAGATGAGCGCTGCAACCCCAGAGTCGGCCACAACTGGACCTAATGGACAGGGGTCCCTTTACCTTACCTCGGAAGCAGAAGTCCGTTCGACTTCCAAAACGTTTGCAAATCAAGGTGCGGCCTCCAATTGGCTACAGGAAGCTCCTGCAGCCAATCAGAAGCCTCATTGGACGTTTGGGTTCCAAAGAACGTTTGCAAACACTCACTTCCGGGTTTGCGGCGTTCGGGATCCAAGGTACGACTGCATTATAAATCATTGTAACCCACCCTGGGACCTTAGTTTGAAGGGCGAGTAAATAGTAATACTTGTTGCCATTGTTTTCCTTTTGTATAGTAAGCCAGTTTCTACACAACTCACACTCTATTCCCCACCCAAGCATGATGCACTGTTAAGAGTTTAAGGACACCGTCTAGCCTGGCAAAAAAGGAGGGGGTGGGGAAGGGCCTGTAGGAAGTGTGACCTGGGGAGGTTCCTCTGCCCTGCTGTTTCCTCTGCCCATCATGTTTTTGATGCAACTCTGTCACCAGAGGCCCAGGTGACATCTTTGGTACTGGACCCTTAGCTGCAGCCCTCCAGGACAGAAAAAGCCTGGCCATAGGTACCTTCCTGGTACCCGTTCATTACTTTTCTTGCACTGCGCAACCCCTTTTTATTATAAAAATATTGAAAAGCATGGGGATAAAGATAGAACCATGTGTCACGCCACTTAAGCTCTTCCTCCAGGCTGTCAAAGAGTCAATAATTAGCATCCGTTGGCTGTGGTTGTTCAGCCAGATGTGGATCCACCCAATCTAACTCAGCCCACGTTACCATCTTGTAGCAGGCTTATCATGGGAGACCTTGTGAAATGTCTTCCTGGAATCAAGACATACTGTGTCCACAGCATTCCCACGATCTACCAAATTAGCAAGTATCAAAAAAAAGGAGGTAAGATTAATTTTGAATGATTTGTTATCCGTAAACTAAAGCAGGCTCCTAATAATTGACGCGTTCTTTTCTAAACGCTTGCAAACTGACTGCTTAAACATCTCCTCTAGATGTTTCCCCAGTTTCAACAGCAAGGATGACAGCTGCTGATTTTCCAGGACCTGTTTCCCCCATCTTTTTGAAGATAAGGAGAAGCTTTGTCCATCCCCAGTCTTCCAGTGAATGGATAAATTCATGATTGTTACGGTGACACTTTTTCATTTTAAAAGCACGATCTGCCAATGAAACACTGAAAAATGCTCTGGGTGGAGGGGAGGAGGGAATACAGCTGTCATCAGCCAGCTCACATTGTACAGAACTGGCCACCAGCCAAGGATTACTGTGTGCAGCCAGCACTGCATCAAAAACCTCAGAAACAGTAAAGATGGGTGAAAGCCATGCTCACCTCGACAGAAAAGATGGAGATGGCTGCTGTTTCTGTATGTACCCTTAGCATACCGCAACAGTAACAGAAGGAAGAAACCTCCATCTCTCTTGGGCATCTCCAAGCTCCCACACTGCTCATAACCACATCTGTATCCTCTGGCACTTCCTCAGCTGAGCTTAGGCTACTCAACGCGGGTGGCGCTGTGCTCTAAACCACTGAGCCTCTTGGGCTTGCCGATCAGAAGGTCGGCGGTTTGAATCCCCACGACGGGGTGAGCTCCCATTGCTCTGTCCCAGCTCCTGCCAGCCTAGCAGTTCGAAAGCACACCAGTGCAAGTAGATAAATAGGTACTGCTGCGGCGGGAAGGTAAATGGCGTTTCCATGTGCTCTGGCTTCCGTCACGGTGTCCCGTTGCACCAGAAGCGGTTTAGTCCTGCTGGCCACATGACCCGGAAAGCTGTCCGTGGACAAACGCGGGCTCCCTCGGCCTGAAAGCGAGATGAGCGCCGCAACCCCATAGTCGCCTTTGACTGGACGTAACCATCCAGAGGTCCTTTGGCTTTACCTTTACTCACATGGATCCATGTTGTCCTTCCTCAGCCAAGCTCACCTGCCTCAGTTTTTCTTGTCCCAATACCTCTCTGCACTCACCTCTGGTGGGATATCCCATTGTAATTTCTGGGGCGGGGGGATGCTGGAATCCATGTCCCCTTTGCAGTTCCCGTTAGCATCGTACCCCAGCATAAATGCATCTGTGGCAATGGTGTACTGTGGGGTGGGGGGAAAAGAGCGTCCGGGTGAGAACTATTTTGCTTTTCATCCCTGCATCCCTCTTGCCCCAAGCCCCCCACCCCTTAGAGCTCACCTGCAGAGGTTCCAGGAGTCCTTGCTCTCAGTCCTTCACACCGCCCACCCCACCCCTCCCATCCCAAAGTTGGGCTTTTACCTCCCAGAGATGTGCCACAATGGGGGCGTCAGCCCACGAATGCTCTGCATTGATGCCGGACTTCCCATTGCGGTAAACAATCAGCGTGAAGGATTTGTCAAACCACCTGTGGGGAAAACAGGCTTTGAGTGAAAGGATGGACACCATCCTGCAAGCCTTACTCTTCGTGCCATGATGCTATTGCCACCCAAATATGCCTGTGAGGTCTCCCGGGAATAGAGAACCAAGAGAGGCTCAGCATGAGTCAACACACCGAACCTTACGGACCCCTGGCTGGTTCTTTCGAAGTGGGGGGACAGCAGAGAAAGAACCGTGTGAATGCTCTAGTCATCCCATGTAAAAGAAAGGAGGAGTAATCGAAAGAAACGGACTACAGAGTGAGAAAATGATGCTCCAATCAAAACAGAAAATTTGTTTGCTAGGTGAACAAAGGGTTAGGACACATGGAGTTCCTTGTGCATTCCTAGAGAGGGCACTCTGTGAGGTCATATCCTCTGTTTGCCCAGGCAGGATGGGTAAAAATAGGAAGATAATTCTTACCACTTCCTCCCATCTGAGGAACAGTCTCTTTTTTTGTCATGTAGCTGTAGGGATAGGATGCAGGGTCTGTGCCCTCTTGCGGAGAGGCACCATCTTTGACCCAAACCATGTATTTTGTAACATAGATATTTTGCCTGACTCGTTTCACTGCCATTTTCCGCTTGAATCAAGCCTGCAACTTTATGTAAGTAAACACTATTTTTACATTTTACATTACAGACTTCTGTCTTATTATTTTGTTTAGTGGGGTAATCCAGTCTGCCAAAGGCATCCTGGATAAATATAGAAAGCTACACAGCTTTGTCACAAGTTTCTTTGTTTTATGCTGCAAAGGATGGTATATATTTTTTAACTCTGCTAAACTAGACACTAAACTTACTCAAGTAAGAGGAAGGAGAATTCATAAATAATACACCCTACCCTACCTTCCAAATCCATCCCAACAAAAAGGAGAGCTAATCTGCCTTATAGCATTTACATCAGAACCCTCTCCAGTTCTGTTAACTCCAGGTGCCGGTGGAGAGATGACGATTTGACCCAGTGGGCCAAAAACCTGTCAAAGAAAAAGTAAAATTCTCTTGCATGAAGTGTGTGTGTGTGTGTGTGTGTGTGTGTGTGTTTTGTCAGGGACACTATGAAGCCCTATGAAGTGGGGTACAGTTTGTGGTAGTACTTGCAGGATGGAGACAAAAGAGCATGCGATGCAATTTTAGGCAGCCCAGAGAGCACCCACCTGTCGCAGCAGCGCCCGTGCAAAAGGGACTTTGAGTAGGCATCCAGCGCCTGACTTGGATTGGGTCCCTGCAGCCCCTGCTCGCTGGTGTCCAGGGTGACGAAGAAGGCAGCTTTCTCCACTATGCTCAGCGATTGCTCATTCACCCCAGACCGGAAGTAGGTTTGGCGGGCCCGGGCCCAGGGGTCTCTGCAAAAAGTTAAGGGAACCATGACTTGGGGAGGTCTGCCTGTCACGGGACTGCCAGTTCGGGTGGATAACTGACTGGCTTGATGGCAGCAGGTGGGAAATCACTGCCCGTCACCTGGAATCTAAAAACCACTCTGTCTCCATCCTCTCTTTCCCCTCCACCCAAAGTCTGCAGCATTTCGTGAAACTCAGTGAATAAAGTAACAGCATTCCTCCAGCAAATCTCAATGATCAAGCTGAATGCGGGACCCAATATGTTACAGGCTTTGCAAATTAATGTAAAGGCCCTAGGTTTGGCTTGGAAACATATGGGCAGTTAAAAATTTTTCCTTATTCCTGACTGGACTCAAACATCTGAATGGCAACAGGTGGCCCATTCATCATCATCATCATCATCATCATTATTACAGTGGTACCTCGGGTTAAATACTTAATTCGTTCTGGTGGTCTGTTCTTAACCTGAAGCCCCACTTTAGCCAATGGGGCCTCCTGCTGCTGCCGCACCGCCGGAGCACGATTTCTGTTCTCATCCTGAAGCAAAGTTCTTAACCTGAAGCACTATTTCTGGGCTAGCGGAGTCTGTAATCTGAAGCGTATGTAACCTGAAGCATATGTAACCCGAGGTACCACTGTAGTGTTATTATTATTATTATTAACATTTGTTTATCATCCTTCTCTCAAAGGTTCTGGGGCAGTTCACAACCGGAAAATAGAAAACGAGACTACAAAATACACAATAAAACAAAAACAAACCAATAATCCCCTCCCACAAAAACACTTAAAAAGTCATAGAATGTTAATCAGCCAAACTCCTGGTTGAAGAGAAATGTTTTCGCCTGATGTCTAGGGGAGCCTCCCTGGTCAGAGGATCCCACAAATGGAGCCACCACAGAAAAGGCCCGTTCTTGTGTTACCACACTCCACTTGTGAAGGAGGCACACGAAGAAGGGCCTCAGAAGTTTATCTCAGCGTCTAGGTAGGTTCATGTGGGGAGAGACAGTCCTTGAGGTATTGTGGTCCTGAGCTGTTAAGGGCTTTATAGGTCAACAACACTTTTAACTGTAGACATTAACAGGGTAAAGGTAAAGGGACCCCTGGCCATTAGGTCCAGTCATGACCGACTCTGGGGTTGCAGCGCTCTTCTCGCTTTATTGGCCGAGGGAGCCGGCATACAGCTTCCGGATCACGTGGCCAGCATGACTAAGCCGCTTCTGGTGAACCAGAGCAGCGCACGGAAACACCGTTTACCTTCCTGCCGGAGCGGGACCTATTTATCTACTTGCACTTTGACGTGCTTTCGAACTGCTAGGTTGGCAGGAGCAGGGACCGAGCAACGGGAGCTCACCCCGTCGCGGGGATTCGAACCGCTGACCTTCTGATCGTCAAGTCCTAGGCTCTGTGGTTTAACCCACAGCGCCACCCGCGTCCCTTATTAACAGGGTAGTGCAGAGGAATATCAGTGAAGGCTGAGTATGTCTCAAGTTCTTGCCCGCCCCAAATCACTTGGGTTGACCAAAGTCTTGTGTGACCAGAGTCAAGTGAAGGGAGTTTAGGCTCACCTGTCAGCCGCAGTCAGGGCACCCAGTTTTTCCTCGCCAGGCAGAGGAGGTGTGGGGTCATCTAGGATCATCTGGAACTGTGCCTGAAGCTCGCGTGGGCGCATCAGCCTCCCGTTGTGGTACAGCCAGACCCGGAAGAAGCGGCCAGCATGGTACACCGCAATGTGCTTGCTATCCCTCAGGTGCTGGATGGTGTCTATGGAGCGAGGAGCATCACATCAGGAGGGTTCTGCAGCCGCAGATCAGATTCCCAGAGGACCATCCACACCATACACTTAGGGAGACCCCCCCCAGCACCCTTAACCAGCCACAGTTCCCAGGATTCCTTTGGGGTGAAGCCATATTATTAAAGTAGTATAGGAGCACTCTAAGGTGAGGGTGCGATGGTGTGGGGTGCCCCACACAATCAAGACAAGGCTGAAGCTGGTGCCTGGTTTCCTCTTTGCAAATCCTGGTTGCCCATTTGATTTAATGCCACAAATGAAGCCACCTGGGTGTTAAAAACACCTGTGTCCAAAAAAAATGGTTTTGAACCATCGCAAATCATACGTCCCCCTTCCCAAAGACTGTTCCCATTTGAGTTCCTGCAAAGCGCCGCCTGGCTCCAAACTCTCCTTGGGTGTAAACTTCCTTCAAGACAGTTGCCCCCAATAATAATAATAATAATAATAATAATAATAATAATAATAGTATTTTCAGGCAGCAGGCGAAAATGTTCCTTTTCAACCAGGCCTTTGGCTGATTAATATTCTACAGCCCTTTTTAATGTGTCTGTGGGAAAGGAGGGGAGGGTGATTGTTTTGTTATTTCGGTTTAATTATTTACTTGTGTTTGATCTTGTATTTTATTCTGTGGTGAACCACCCCGAGATCTCTTGATGAAGGGCAGTATGTAAATTTAATAAGTAAGTAAAATTACAACCGCAAATAAGGAGCCGATCTGTCTGTTTGTCCCCCGTCCCAATGATGGGAGACAGTCAAAGAAATCACTGTGGGACGTAGTGGGCCAGTGGGCCAGTTTTGTGTACGAATATTGCAGATCTTAAGGATGGGCACAGAGACCTTAGGCCTAGCCTCCAGCATTTGCTCTCAGAGGGTACAGGCGCTCTGGGAAGCACCAGCTACAGCCTTGTTTGCCGAAGGACATTAATAGCATAAGAACCAGATGCCCAAGGGAAGCCCAGAAGAAGGCAGGCCCCAGTGCAACAGTGTTTTCCTCACTTGTGATTCCCAGTGGCTGGTATTCAGAGAGGCCTACTGCCTTAGGCAGCCGAGGGAGAACATAGCCTAATCTGGCTAATCTTCGTTTTACTGTTTCTAGACGACATTAGAGAATCACCACCCTGGCATCCAATGTTGGCAGACTATTCCCAGGCCAGATTCTCCCACCTTCACCCTAAATTCCACTCGGTGATCTATTCTAATGCCACCTGCTTCAGTGCCACCCATTCTGACTCGGGTCTCCCATCTACCAACTCTGTCTTCTACAACTTTGCCTACACAAAAGTCCTGGGAGAGTTCTCCCCAACTTAGAATCATAGAATTGTAGAGTTGGAAGGGACCGTGAGGGTCATCTAGTCCAACCCCCTGAAGTGCAGGAATCTTTTTGCCCAACGTGGGGCTCGAACTTGCAACCCTGAGACTAAGGGTCTCCTGCTCTACTGATGGAGCAACCTAAAAGAGGTGGAACGTTCTTGCCCTTTGAAATCACCTCTGCTGCTTGGCGGAAGGTGGGCAATGGAAGACATTGCCCTGTATCTGTTTTCCCATCCCCAGGATGCCCCTGCCGGGAAGTTAACTAAATTCCCTTCTCCTTGTAAAAGGTAAGGTAAAGAACCCCTGGATGGTTACATCCAGTCAAAGGCGACTATGAGGCTAAATCACTTCTGGCGCAATGGAACACTGTGACAGAAGCCAGAGCGCACAGAAACACCGTTTACCTTCCCACCACAGTGGTACCTATTTATTTACTTGTACCAGCATGCTTTCAAATTGCTAGGTTGGTAGGAGCTGGGACACAGTAACAGGAGCTCACACCGTCGCGGGGATTTGAACTGCTGACCGTCTGTTCGGCAAGCCCGAGACGCTCGGTGGTTTAGACCACAGCGCCACCCACATCCCTTCTTGTAACAGTTAAGGTTACAGAGAGGGTTAAATAGGAATGGTGAGTGCTTCCCAGCACCAGAGGTAACAATGAGTGTGGATACTTTAGGGTGATGATGTCGGGAAGGGAAGCAAGGGTTGCGAGAGCATCCTACCTCCCTCCATGCCTGGGACACGGGTTGTATTAAACATGCGTTCGTACTGAGCTGAGCACATGGGAAGGCCACCTTGAATCATCAGCTGGAGAGGCGTGGGAAGCGAAGAGAGAGAAAGAGAGAGATTGAGGAAGAGATGTGCCAGCCAAATGACTTGGGGAAGAAAGAAAGAAAAATAAGGAGGGCAACCATCAGCTTTGAGCAACATTGAAAGTCCTTCCGACACAGAACTCAATCGGGTAGGCAAAGCTCAGATTGCAAATTCCAGGGTGGCATTCCTGATTTTGTAACCCACAGGCTGCAGGCAAGACAGGCTGCAATAGATCCTTGCTGTAAGAAGGAGCGAGAGAAAGACTGTAGTGACCGCTAGACCAAAGAACTTCAAAATCCAGTAAGAAGTTCTGAAATCCCAGAAATACAGTGTTGAAAAAAGGTGTTAGGACCTGGACTAAGCCAGAAAACCCACCAAGAGACACCATGAAGCAGACTCGCCCTGCAAAAGGCCCCACAGTGGGTGGGTGGGGGGTGGGTGAAGTGTTTCATAATACCCCCTGATTAACTTACCCTTCCCCACCCCAGGCAACCGGGTGGTATTGAAGAGACGTTCCCATTGGGCCGCACAGAGGGGGATGAAGGAATTTGGGGTGATGTTCTGTTTTCAGATGGGAGGCAAGCTCAGGTTTAGATGCAGGGTTTGGGGAACCAAACATGGAAGAGCTCTGCGGTTATTTTTAAGACGCTCAGTGAACCTAGCTTGGTTGAGGAACTTAACAAAAAATTAAAAATCCAGACCTAAATACATTTCTTAAAAGGAGGGCTAGATTATAAAACATGTGGGAATTCCAGGCCAGATACTAAGAAAGAGGAAACTGCAAATGCATCCTCACATGTGTGTAGCTTTGATTAGGAGGAGGAGTTTGGATTTGATATCCCGCTTTATCACTACCCTGAGGAGTCTCAAAGCGGCTAACAATCTCCTTTCCCTTCCTCCCCCGCAACAAACACTCTGTTAAGTGAGTGAGGCTGAGAGACTTCAGAGAAGTGTGACTAGCCCAAGGTCACCCAGCAGCTGCATGTGGAGGAGCAGAGAAGTGAACCCGGTTACCCAGATTACGAGACTACCGCTCTTAACCACTACACCACACTGGCTCTAGTAGCATGAGTGGCAAGCAGACCATTGTACACAGCACCTAGGGCAAAGCTTGCTCTCTGCCCAGGTGGGAAACTTCAGGCATAACACTGGCAGCTTGGGTTCATGTATAAGCCGGTCACCTCCAGCCCTGCCCTCACCAAGTAGCCTCTCTGCTACTTGTTTCTGTGCTGTCTGCTTCCAAAAGACCAAAACAAGCACAGTGGAGAAGAGTGCTGGGCTTAAGGGTCAACGTAAAACACTCACAGTGGAGGGAATCTGCTTTGCTTCAAGTTTATTTTTACTTTTCGACAGCTGTGGGAGCTCCATTTTGCACCAGATCGGGAGCGCTGGAGGGAGGGTGTTTGGTCCTCCCCCGCCCCCCACCATGCTGCCAATCAAGATTAGACCTCAAAGTTGCTATTAGGTGAGGCAATGGTGTAGGACAGGCATAGGCAAACTCAGCCCTCAAGATGTTTTTTGGGACTACAACTCCCATCATCCCTGACCACTGGTCCTGTTAGCTAGGGGTGATGGGAGTTGTAGTCCCAAAACATCTGGAGGGCCGAGTTTGCCTATGCCTGGTGTAGGAATACGGATTCCTTTATCCCAGGGGCTGAATGTGGCCCTCCAGGACACACTATCTCGCTCTCTGAACTTTCCCCACTCCTTGCTGGCCCTGCTTGACCCCCCCCCCGAGTGTTTTGACTTGGCTAGACCACATCCTTGAACTCTAACGCCTTTTGCTTGTCCAGACGAAGGACAGAGAGTGCTGCGTGCAGATACAAAGCCTAGTGTACAAAGGTAAAATTTGCATATGTTGTCCTGCCCACTCTTGCTTCTGGCCCCGCCCACCTATCACATGCGGCCCTTGGGAGGCTGCCCAGAATGGCATAGGGCCCTCAAACTGGAAGGGTACCCCATACGGACTTTATGCCCAGTGCCTTTTGCAAGTCACTGTCTCTCAGCTCAGCTTAACTCACAGGATTCCCCATCCTGAGCTCCTTGAAAAACGGGTGGGATGCAAGAATATTAAATAAAGAGCAACTCTACGGGCTGTTGCTATGCCATAGCCAGCAACGCTGGTGTTTGCCAGCCCAGGAGTCTTAGTCCATCTTACAAAGCCAACAAAACATTCTATATCTACACTTTGCCACAGCCCATGTTCTTGTCTTCGATCCTGTTTGCTCCTTTTGCAAGCTCGGCCACTCACAGCATTGGACCAGGAAGAGAAAACAAGGAGAAGGAGCTAATTGCACTCCATTGCAATGTAAGGTGCAATTTAATGCAGGGGAAGGGTGGTTTAACAAAGTGAAGTGTACTAGCAATAGAAGCACCCTTGTCCCACTTTAATGGCCACAGCTTCCCCCAGAGCATCCTGGGAACTGTAGTTAGTTGAGGTTCTCCTAACCACTCTTGGCACCCTTTAAAAACTACAGTTCCCAGGATTCTTTGGAGGAGGCTACGACTGTTGCATTGCTAGAAGAGTGCTTCAAAGGTATGGGTGTGGTCTGGGTTTATACAGCTACACTAGCCAACTAGGCACCTGCTATGCTTCTATCCTACACACACACACACACACACAGCAAGTTGACAGCAACCCCATTCGTCCTACCAGTGGCGTAGCGTGGGTTGTCAACACCCGGGGCAAGGCAAGTAATTTGCGCCCCCTAACCCATGGATTTGCGCCCCCTAACCCGTGGATTTGCGCCCCCCAACCTGTGGATTTGCCCTAACCCCAGATGTTGCGCCCGGTGTGGCCAGCCCCCCCTGCACCCCCCACGCTACGCCACTGCGTCCTACTTCTCAATCTGACTTCCAGTTCCCCCTTTAGGGAGAGGGAGTTGACACTACCTACTGGGTGTGCCCTCCCATTCCATCATATACTTTGATCTCACTTACCGGTTTGATCTCTTCCCGAGTGAGTTTCCGTCGGTACAGCAACATGGCGTAGACGAGATTCCCAGCACGAGCTGCCTGGATCGGGGTTGGGGTTACATAAATGAAATCCTAAAAAAATTTTTAAAAAATGGTACGCAGAAAGTTAAAATTCACAGTGTGTTATATGTTGAAAGAAAATTGTATGCAAATAATGTACCGTTGGTATTTAACTCCCAATAAATTAGCAAAAAATTATAAAACAGGGTCAAATGTATGCCGGAAATGTAAAGAAAAAGAAGGCACCTTTTATCATATGTGGTGGAAACGTAAGGTAGTAAAAGAATTTTGGGAAATGATATATAACGAGTTGGAGGGAAAATGTTTAAAATAACCTTAAAAACCCGAAGCCTTTCTTTTGGGAATTCTAGGTGCTGAAATCCCAATGGAGCAAAAAAGATTATTTATGTATGTGACCACGGCTGTGTGGATGTTATTGGCTCAGAGATGGAAATAAGTCCTGACCAAAGAAGCATGGCAGATCAAATTGACGGATTATGCTGGAATGGCTAAAATGACCAGAAGAATCAGAAATCAGGAAGACCAAAATTTTAATTATGAATGGGGGGAATTTGTAATTTATCTTAAAGACCATTGTAAACAGTTAAAATCATTAGTAGGATTGGAATATCACTTGTACAGTGGAACCTCTGGTTAAGAACTTAATTTGTTCCGGAGGTCCGTTCTTAACCTGAAACTGTTCTTAGCCTGAGGTACCACTTTAGCTAGTGGGGCCTCCCGCTGCCGCTGCGCGATTTCTGTTCTCATCCTGAAGCAAAGTTCTTAACCCAAGGTACTATTTCTGGGTTGGTGGAGTCTGTAACCTGAAGCATCTGTAACCCAAGGTACCACTGTAGTTTAATGGTGAATTTTGGAGACAATGGAGAGATAAAAGATTTGGATTATTATAAAAGGTGCAGGAGGAAATGATTGACAATGGGGCCCACAAAGGGCAAGAGGAAAGCACAAGAGATTCCTTGGAACTTTGTTTTTATGTTGCATGCTGGACTGTAAAATTTTAATCTGAAAAACCAAATAAATAAATATATATATATTTAAAAATGGAATGCAGAAAGGGTGTGGGTGTGTCAGCAGAGACTAAAGAGAGGCACCCCTCCCCTCCCAAAAGCTTCTCCCAGCGTCTGAAACTCACCATGCCATAATAGTTGCTATTTACCATCAGGGGGCCTCGGCTACGGAGATAGACGTACTCTTCCCACCAGTCACTCACCTGGGCAAGGTATGAGGTTCAAAAAGGAGAATTAAAAAGACCCACACGTTCTCCATGTGCAGCACAACACAGCTGAAGGAGCTGCCCCCTGCCCCGCCCCGAAATCCCATTTTAGGGACCACTTACATAGTTAGATGCCCACCAAGACTTAAGTTTCAGGTACCACTGCAAGCGCGGCCCGAGGGTCCGTTCAAAGTCACGGGCGAGACCCGCCATCCGCTGGAACTCTGCATCTGTTTTCAGGGGTCGTACGGACTCGAGAAACTAGTGGGGCGAGAGAATTATGGGATTAGGAGGAGGCCATGTTCGGTATGGGTTCTGCAATTGCTCTTGCTCACAGCCTCACATTCTAGAGAGAACAACGGCTGTTGTGCGTTGCTTGCTCTTGGGCAATCCTCTGCAAAGGCCCTTTCAACAGGAAAACCCCGTAGAACTGAAAACCAAGGTCCCCGTGAATGTGCGGCCATTCGAAAGAAGATTGGAGGATGAAATTGATGGACTATGCAGAATCAGACAAACTAACAGGAAGAATTCGAAACCTGCGGGACCAGAGATTCACAGAAGATTGGTGTAAATTTATGGATTATTTGAAAAGTAATTGTGATGACCAGATTACATTTGTAGGTTTGCAAGAAGTTTTGTGAGGTGAATAATTTGAATTATTGCATAGTTGGATAAAAAGGAAGGCGTTAGTTAAGATAATTAAAGGCAATATGAATTTAAGAAATGCAGAAGAAATGATAAAAATGGGGGGTCATCAGAGGTGCTGATGGAAGTCCAAAAAGATTGTATAGGATGTGCAACTTTGTGGTATGTATGACAATTAATATGTTCAAAAAATGAATAAAAATTATATATAAAAAAAGAATGTGCGGCCATTCAGAGAGAGGGAAAAGGAGTGCAGAGGCTTCGTATCAGAAAGCACCCAAACCAGGTACCCACAAACGCGGCCCTCCAGATGTTTTGGGACTACGATTCCCATCATCCCTGACCACTGGACCTGTTAGCTAGGGATGATGGGAGTTGTAGTCCCAAAACATCTGGAGGGCCGAGTTTGGGGGTGCCTGATCCAAACGTTCAATCCTCCACTTTCAGCCTGATGTGCTAGGAAAGCAGCGGCATATACTTTTTTTTTTGTGCATCCTCAAATCACAGCAGGAAAGGAGAAACGAAACCACACTCACCCTCTGCATGGTGTCCTTGAGGGCTGGAACAGGCAAGCGAGGCAGCGAGGCTTGGTAGCTGTATAGCATGGGTTTCCGCCCAGCAAAGATTTTCACCAAAGCCTGTGATGGGGTGGGGTGGAGAGAAAGAATGAACTTTATACTACTGTGTTACGGATTTGTGAGTGTCCTTGAGTTTCCTTGGGAAAATTGTGTGAGATAAAAAAAAAGGAAAAAGGGGGGAAATGTGGAGCCACAAAGTCTGAAAGAGGATTCTTTGATCACTCAGGTGAAAATAATTAGAATTGTCCCTACTATCAGGACCTAAATGCACTCAGTGGAGAATGCTTAGAATCCTCCTTTTTTTTTCTTTCCAGAAAGAACTTTATTGAAACTCAGAGCAAATGAACCAAGTCTGCATTTAGAAGAACGTGTTTGGTCTCCTGGTGGTGAAGCATGGCTTATGTTGACGACAGAGGGAACTTGATTTTGGAATCATGGCAGAGGGAACTTGATTCTGGCAGAGGGAACTTGATTTTGGAATCATGGAACTGCTTGACAGCTGGTCTGCTGCACTTGCTAGCAGCGATCTCTTCAACCTTCATGATCTGAATTGAGTGAGCACGAGCTCTGTGACGGGCTCCCATATCGCGATAGCCCTGTGTAACAGCTCGTGTTATGAGTTCCGCTACAAGAATCATAGCGCAGCCAGATACCAAAATTTTCCACCTTCAATGGAGCCTTCTCAAAAACCTGTCCACACTACACAATTTCCCCAGAAGATGTCTTCATCTTCTTCAGCTGAGAGACAAAGTACCAGAAACGGGACTTTGCAACAACATGATTAGGAGCAAAGATGCGCTTACGATAGAGAGGTGGTGTTGGGCACTTAGGAGGCATCTCCCAACAACTTTGTACTCCCTCAGGGTGCCCAATGGCTTCATGGTGCTGCCTCTCTCGCTGTCACCCAGGAAAAAATGCTTAGAATCCTCCTGGAAACCGCCCCACTCAATGCATTAAGTCCAGGGTGGAGCTAGTAGAGATGGAGACTTTAGGAATGGGGCTGATGCATGCAGCCTCTCCACCCATAATGTCTACAGAGATGTCCTTTGAGTGCATGAATCAAGCCTCTCTCATGCATCTCTGGCCCTGTTTACCAGCCGCCGCCACCCAGCTTTCCTGACATCTGTGCCCATTAGTGGTGAGGATTTTCCAGCCCCGCTGGCAGACTCTAGCCCCAGCCCCTTCTATATTACAAGGTGTGACCGGAAGGTTAGGTGAATGGTCACAGATATCGGACAGCGGGTGGCGCTGTGGGTTAAACCACAAAGCCTATGACTTGCCGATCAGAAGGTTGGCAGTTCGAATCCCCGCGACGGGCTGAGCTCCTGTTGCTCGGTTCCTGCTCCTGCCAACCTAGCAGTTTGAAAGCACGTCAAAGTGCAAGTAGATAAATAGGCACCGCTCCGGCAGGAAGGTAAACGGCGTTTCCGTGCACTGCTCTGGTTCGCCAGAAGCGGCTTAGTCATGCTGGCCACATGACCTGGAAGCTGTACGCCAGCTCCCTCGGCCAATAAACCCCAGAGTCAGTCACGACTGGACCTAATGGTCAGGGGTCCCTTTACCTTTTTATCAGACAGCGAGAAACATTCAAACATACGATCAGCATTGGAAACCCATGAAATGCTCTCAGTTGTGTACAGAGATGAAGCTGTAACTCAAAAGACAGTGTATGAGTAGTTTAAGGCGTTTCCGTGAAAGGTGGCAAACCATCGAAGAGGACCCTCAGTCTGGCAGACCGTCAACGAGCAGAACGGCGGCAAATGTCAACAGAGTTCGTGAATTGTTGATGCGGGGTCAGCGTTTGTCCATCCGAATGATGGCGGAAGAATTGCATATTCCGCTTGTAATCGTTACTGAGGTTACTGAGTTGTCCCACCCTCCATATCTGGCCCCGCCAAATTTCTTTCTTTTTCCAAAACTGAAAGGGCACAGATTTCCAACATTTCACACGTCCAAACTGTTGTGACGAGGGAACTGAAAGCAGTACGAAAAGAGGACTTCTCCAGAAGTTTCCAACAGCTCTACGAACACTGTCAACAGTGCATTGTATCCAGGGGGGGGGGGCTACCTTGAAGGCCTGTAATGTATGTATGTTCAAATATTTCTCGCTGTCCGGTTTCTGTGACCATTCACCGAACTTTCCGGTTACACCTTGCATAAACTACACACAGCTTCTCTCCCATCCCAGGCTAACATATTCTTGAATAGCCAGAGGGCAATGTGGCCATATGTGGTTTACTGGTGCAGACCACCATGGCCACACAAGCACATAGGAAGATGCCTTCTACAGATTCAGACCATTGGGTGCATCCAGCCCAGTACTGTCTGCACTGACAGTGGCTCTCCAGGACTTCAGACAGGGGCATTCCCAGCCTTTTCCAAATGCCTCTGGCATAAGTCTCCTTCAGCCCCAATAGCACAAAACCAGCTTGAACCCAGCTGCTACCGTCTGGTTCTATCCCACAGCATTAGGGCTGGGCGATATAGCGATATATCATCCAAGGCCAGTTTGAAGTCCATATCGTGATATCGGTTTCATAATTTTTGACCTGGCAATATATCGCAAATCATGAAACATGTGCGTATGTGTGCAATGCAAAAAACACAATGTGGGGAAAACAGTGAAGCCAGCCGATGCTTCTCTCGATTCCTGCAGTCCCTGTTAAGTCTGCTGGGTCAGCTCTCCCCGCCTCCTTCAGGGAACAGTGAAAAGAAGAAGAAGAAGAAGAAGAAGAAGAAGAAGAAGAAGAAGAACCACCAGACAGAGAGCCTTCTTGGTAGTGGCGCCCACCCTGTGGAACACCCTCCCTTCAGATGTGAAGGAAATAAGCAGCTATCCTATACAGTGGTGCCCCGCAAGACGAACGCCTCGCAAGACGGAAAACCCGCTAGACGAAAGGGTTTTCCGTTTTGGAGGCGCTTCGCAAAACGAATTTCCCTATGGGCTTCCTTCGCAAGACGAAAGCCCATAGGGAAATCTCCGGGACAGCGGGGAAGCGCAGCGCGTCTTCCCCACTGTCCTCGGACCTCCTCCGAAGGCTGGCGGCGGGGCGGAGAGACCTCCTCCCGCCGCCAGCTCTCGGAAGGCTGCTCTGAAGGCTGCCGGTGGGGCGGAGAGACCTCCTCCCGCTGCCAGCCTTCAGAAGGCTGCTCCGAAGGCTGGCGGCGGGAGGAGGTCTCTCCGCCACTCCGCCAGGCTTCAGAAGGCTGCTCCGAAGCCTGGCGGCGGGGCGGAGAGACCTTCTCCCCGTGCCAGCCTTCGGATGGCTGTCCTGAAGACTTGGGGTGGGAGAAGGGTTTTCCTCCGCTGTCCTCCGCTGTCCCGGGGTTTTTTAAAATGCTGGGGGTGGGAAGAAAAGCCCTTGTCCCCCCCCCAGCCTTCAGAAGAGGTCGGGGGACAGACTGTCCCCGGACCTGGTCTGAAGGCAGTTTCCATAGGAACGCATTGATTGATTTTCAATGCATTCCTATGGGAAACCGTGCTTCGCAAGACGAAAAACTTGCAAGACAACAAAACTTGCGGAACGAATTAATTTCGTCTTGCGAGGCACCACTGTATTTAAAAGACATCTGAAGGCAGCTCTGTTCAGGGAAGTTTAATGCTGTACTGTTTTTAACACTTGATTGGGAGCCGCTCAGAGTGGCTGGGGAAACTCAGCCAGATGGGCAGGGTATAAATTTATTATTATTATTATTATTATTATTATTATTATTATTAGAGGAGGAGGAGGAGGAGTTTGGACTTGATATCCCACCTTTCACTCCCCTTAAGGAGTCTCAAAAATTTCCCAGTGTTATTCTCAGGCTGAAGAAGAAGAAGAAGAAGAAGAAGAAGAAGAGGAGGAGGAGGAGGAGTTTGGATTTGATGTCCCACTTTATGACTACCCTAAGGAGTCTCAAAGCGGCTAACATTCTCCTTTCCCTTCCTCCCCCACAACAAACACTCTGTGAGGTGAGTGAGGCTGAGAGACTTCAGAGAAATGTGACTAACCCAAGGTCACCCAGCAGCTGCATGTGGAGGAGCGGGGAAGTGAACCCAGTTCACCAGATTAACAAGTCCACCGCTCTTAACCACTACGCCGAGCAGGCAGAAATCATGGTGCAGGAAAAACCATGAAGCCAGCCAATGCCTCTACATAGCTCCATCCTTATTTCGTACTTTGTGACATATCGGTTTAGCTGGTGATCTACCACAATGTTGAAAACCAGATATCGCCCAGCCCTACGCAGCATGCTCCCTTCTCTCAGCCTGCTTCCCAATAGTGTACCTTCTTCTGCGATACATACCAGCCAGATTTTGGTGGTGTTGGATATCTTGCCGTGCTCCTCAAAGATCCAGCCATGGTAGCACAGCAGCATCTTGAGAATGCTGCGCATGGTCACGATGAGGGCCAGCCACAGCCCTGTGGAAAAAGCCAGGGCACTGAGGACTGTCAGGCCTTGATCTGACAGGTAGTCACTGAGGACAACATGGTGGGGAAGGGAACGAAGAGAGAGGGAGAGGGAGAAAAACGTACAGGCCTTAAAATTAAAACAATCGATTTCCCAAGAGAAGAAAACCTAATTCTGTCTTCTGGTCCGATGTCTCCAGGCTAACACACATGCACACAAATGCTTAAGGGTTTAAAATGTGGACTTGCTGTTTTAAACTAAAGGTCCGTCTTGGCAAGTCATCGCTCTCCAAAAGCCGCCAATCAAATGCCCCCTCTCTGTGAATATGGAGATTCCATCATGTTAATGCAAGACAGAACTATCCTCCATATGTTTTTCTAAAGTCATCCAAGCAAGAGGCCATTGTTTTGGCAATGGAGTAATGTACTTTCCAAAGCCTGCTGCCAATTAGATATATGTTGGAGGGAACCCTAGGTGCATACATCTTTACATGAGTCAGGTCCTCTTCAGGCTTGAGGCTGATTCCATAGTACCATGGCTGGCACATGTGGGGCTACCCTATTCAGGCATGAAAACCCCTTCACATGTTCACACTGAACACCTCAAGAGGACTCTTTGGTCACTAGAAAATTGTCTCCCAACCACACCACCTCTGGCCAAAAGGACCTTGACAGTACTCAAGAGTTTCTGACCTGAGGACAACTTCCAGTATCAACAAAATGCACTCTTTCCAATGTGTTTGACATGGACACATCCCTGGACTGTGTTTGAGAGTGGTTTTGAAGCAACCCTCCAAGAAAACCATTCAAAACAACATGGAACCATGTGAATAAGCCACAGCAAGCCTCGGATTTGTAGGCTCCCCAGTCTTCCTCTCTCATTCTCCAGGAAAAGGAGTTTGGAAGCACCTACTTCCAATTTTAAACAAACCATAGTACCCCATCATGTCTAAACACAGAGAAATGTAGTTTGTTTAAACAGTGTTTTCAGGACAAGATGGGAAGTGAGTCCACAGTTAGATTCTGGGTAGTTCTTGTAAGTGTGAACAAACCACAGTTATCGTAACTTCAGAGGTCACCATAAATAAGGGTTTGTCTAAAAGCAAAGGCTTCCCATTTCCTCCTCATTGGCTTGAAAGGCGACAAGAGGGGTTGGAGAATTCACACGAGCCTGAGATGTGCTGCCGCCTGTTCTCGTAGCAGGAAACCATTATTTCCCAGAATGTATGAAAACCAAGTCTTAGTTTTAGTCTCCTTCCCCCTCATTGATTCATCCACAACTCCCACCCTTCTCCCTTCCCATTTCCCATTTCAATACCTGACTGGCAGGTGTTCCTTGATCTTTCCAATCATGCCCATGGAGGGGTCAAGTCGAGAGTACTGGGTTACCAAGATGGCAGTAACCATGAACAGCCAACTGGATGGGCTGGCAGGATACACGCCTGTCACAAAACTGTTCTGTTAGGGGAGGTCACAAAAAGATGAATGTGAACAAATTGTTGCTATCGTCATGAGTCAAATCTTCTGTAGTTTTGAAGGCACATTGCCCTTTCTTTGGAAAATATGGTACATGGACCGAACTTTGCCCAGTTCCCTAAACTGCCCACTCACTTCCTTTCCCTCAGACACTTGGCAAAACTGCTGGTGTGCACTTTTTCTTGAAGAAGCAGTGTGGATTTGTGGAGAGCAGGAAGGCTATACTTGACAACACAGCTATTTCAGCCTTAAAAATCAACCAACACATTGTTTTCTCAGAATGTAAGCTGCATTGAATGTGCTTTGAACTGTTGGATGCTGATTAATAGTGCTTTTTGCTTTTAACAAATTAAACAGGTCCCAACATTTTATAAGCTGGCTCTCTCATTTTTGCTCCGAACAACCCACCCTCAATTTCCAAGCTACATCTCAGCATCAAACATCATTTTACACTAGGGCCCTGTTCGCATGTCCTTCACATTAAACCATAGTTAGGAACAAACCATAGTCTTAACAAGTACAAGCAAGCTGCTCATTAAGTACCAGCTTCTGTCTTTACTAAACAAACTAAACTGTGGTTTAGTATGATGTTCAAATCAGGTAAGATCACCTGCTGAGTTCATGATGGAGATGAAATTTTAACAAGGACCTCCTAATTCATAGCTCTCTTTTATCCTTACAACAACCCTGTATGTCATCCCTCCATAATACAAATGGAGACAGCAGCTTCACAAGGACACCCAATAAATTCATGGATTATTGACTAAAAAGAAACAGGTTGTCAATGTTATTGAACTTTAATTATTGAAGAACAAGCACCGTGATCTCTTTGGAGGGGGCACTTGGGCACTCTCCACTCTCTGTTAAACCCTTGACTTGAGGGTTCGTTCTAAAATGGCTCCCAGAACCGCCTGTTCTGATTTGGCCAAACAAACTTTCATTCGCACCATACCCCGAACGTACTGGACTCAAGTCATTTCCGATAACCTGGGAGGCCTTACTCCCATGCCTAACCCAGGCCTTCAACTGCCTTGGCTTCCCTAGATTACAGTTTAATTCTTCCTAAGGCTCCAACATGGGAGTGTTGGGTTCCCAAGAGTAAACTAAGAGCTGGGCTCTCAAGACATGAATGTCACAGAATTGTAGAATTGCAGAGCTGGAAGGGACCAAGAGAGTCATCTAGTCCAACCCACTGCAATACAGGAATCTTTTTGCCCAACACAAGGCCAGAACCTATGACTGTCTCATGCTCTATCAACGGAGCTATCCCTCAGATACAAATTAATTCCAGGGCATTTTGAGCAGGTGCTCGTTGTTAAGTTGTGGGTGAACATATCAGACGACACAGCGATTCTTCAAACAGCTCTTGTTTATTCACAGGCCAGAACAGAACTGAACTGAAGGGTTCAGCCAGCCTGCTTATATAGAGCTCCAGTACAACGTAACTGTAACAACTTTCTGTAACTATCCAATCACTGAACGTCACTTTCGATCCCTTATTTGCATATGTGGACCTGAACTATCTACAGTATCCCCCTGCTGGCCCAGGGTGAGAACTTCAGTACATAACACTCGTTATCCCTATCTTACCCGCAACTGGTTGAATTTCTTCTTCCAGGACCGCAGGCCTGAGAGGTAAACCTCCTTGAGGGCTGCATGGCTCAGCTGGAGGTCGATACCCTCTGGAGAGACCGTGAATTGGAATGCCACAGCCTGGTGAGCCTCCGCCATCTTGGGAGGATGCTAGCTTGTTGGCTAAGAAAAGAAAGAGAACGAGAGGATGAACACATCCCTTTAAACCTGTATCGAAAACCCCTCAAATTCATACATTGACAATTATTATTTATACCCTGCCTTCGACCCCCAACCCTAACAGGGACTCAAGGTTGCTTACACATAAAAGGCAGAAAGGTATTGTGCCGGTAGTTAAAATGGCACAAAACAGCACTAGGTGGTGGACTGCATTCTGGGGACTTGGAATATCTTCCACTAGTATTGCAGTTTTACCTGGCAAAAGGCTGACATCACAATGACAAAGGTGAGTGTCATTGTGTATTTGGCTGAGACCTGGCCAAACAGATAGCAAAGGTTTGGTGCGAGCTCTGGGAGAAGCCTTGTGTTTGTTGCCTATGTTCCCTCGCTATAAATGAAGAACTTGAGGAGGTGTGAAAGAAAGAAAGATGGGTCTTCTCTGTGGTTATGGATAACAGTCCCTATAGGATCCTTGCCTGTCACCTTCACTTTAGTCGTTCTGGAACTGGCAGTTCGAATGTGTGCCACAGGGTGAGCTCCCATTGCTCTGTTCCAGCTCCTGCCGACCAAGCAGTTTGAAAGCACGCCGGTGCAAGTAGAGAAATAGGTGCCACTGCAGCGGGAAGGTAAACAGCGTTTCTGTGCTCTCTGGCTTCCGTCAGGGTGTTCTGTTGCGCTAGAAGCAGTTTAGTCATGCTGGCTAAATGACCCGGAAAGCTGTCTGTGGACAAACGCCAGCTCCCTCGGCCTGAAAGCGAGATGAGAGTTGCACCACATAGTTGCCTTTGACTGGACTTAACCGTCCAGGGGTCCTTTACCTTTTTACCTTTACCTTCTGGTACTAGGTGAACACCTTTTTTATTTTCTCAGGCTTTTAAATCTTGAAATTGTCTAGTAAATTATGGGACTGGACTAGGACCTAGGACACCAATAACTGAGAGCCAGTGTGGCATAATGGTTAGAGTGCTGGACCATTACCTGGGGGAATAAGGATGAATCCCCACACAGCCATGAAGCTCACTGGGTGACCTTGGGCCAGTCACCATCTCTTCGCCTAACCTACCTCACAGGGTTGTTGTGAGAATGAAATGGGGAGAACCATGTACACCACCTTGAGATCCTTGTGAGATAAAAATGGTATATAAATGTAATAAATAATAAAATAATAATAATAGATCTTTAGATATTTCTGAAGTTTGCTTCTACTTTTGTTTGATACTCTGCTGCTGTTTTTACGCTGTATTTAGATTTTATGGCCCTGCCTTTTTAATGTATGCTTTACTTCCACTGTTAGCCACCCAGAGCATATACACTGAGTAAATAAACAAGAAATTATTATTATTATTTTCCAATTTGAGTTGAAAGGATATTTATTTTGCCACCAGCTTTAATTATTTTGCCACCAGCTTTACTGCAGTTTACAATGGTAAAAACAATAAAATACAAGTACAAGAACAGCAATGAAACCACAAAATAAAAGCAGAAGAGAAAAGAACCAGAAAACCTTTCATCTCAAAAAGGGTTCAAAGTAGAGAAGGATAGCTTTTCTCTGGTACTCAGGGAAAATGAAGGTACTGCCAGGCAAACATACCAAAAGAAGCGCGTTTTACAATTTGCACTCCACCACACAGGCCTGATTTGCACATAATGCTAAACCATGGCTTATTAAACTACATGGTGCATTGAACCATCCCATACATGTTAGTGTGAACCCTGCCAGCCACTTGAAAAACCTTGGTTGTAATAAATAAACAAACCGTCCTTTTAAAAAAAAGGTTTAAACAGATAACGTCGTGATATAAACCGCCAAAAAAAGGCAGCTGGGAAAAGGAATCTCCACAAGAAAAGCAGCTCCACTGCTTCAGGCAAGAAACATCTGGAATCCCCTCCCCCCAGGAAAAAAAATATGTGTTGGTTTTCACTAAGGGAGAAAATGGATGAATCGCTTCCAAAGGAGGGGTGTGGGCCTTCTGCACAAAATTTACCACATACCTCATTGCACGTTGCCAAGGCCCAATACAGGTTTGGCTGCCATGACAACAGTTTTCTGTTGCCAGGGAGTTAAGGGGAGTGACAGGAGAGCCGTCAGAAAGAAGGGCAATAACATCTGGCGTAGTAACTCAAAAATACGAGAAGTCTGAGCAGTTTTAACCCACCCCTCATGTGCCGGCTTGGGAATACTCTCCCTTGTCAATAAGAAGAGACTATCCTCTTACCAGAGAATTCAAAAATCTGGGCTACCAACCACAACTCTAACCACTGGCCCTCACCACCCCAACTGGCTTCCCAGCTCCTACCCATACCATTACCACATATGTTCCAGGACTAGACTGGAGATTGGGGGGGGGGGCTTCCCCAGCTGTGAACAGATTGGGCAGGGGGAGCATCCCCTAAGCCAGGGATTCCCAAAAATGGGTCTCCAGCTGTTGTTGGACTACAGTTCCCATCATCCCTGACCACTGGTCATGTTTAGGGATAATGGGAGTTGTAGTCCGACAATAGCTGGAGACCCAAGTTTGGGGAACCCTGCAGAAATATACCGTACTCGGTGTTGAAGTGTTGAATTTCATGCTCTTTATTCAGCTCGTAGCAATGAATGAAACTTTCCCCAAAACATCTAGCTATATATACATTATTTACACAATGGGCCCCATTGACTAATTCCGGGCTGCTCCCGTAGGCCAATCCGGTTGCAGGGTCACTTCCTCCAGAAGCCTGATTGGCTGCTCCTGCAGGCCAATCAGACTGCTGCATCCTGGATCCTTTTGTTCTAGGATTCAGCTCAGTACATAACACCTGCCCTAAGCAAAGCTCTATATTGGTTTATATGGTGCAAAATGGCAGGTTGTGCTTTCATCCGCAACTCCAGTCGTAATATAAGGTCTGGAAGGTGTGGGTGAAGAGATGGGGAGGAAGGTAAGCCGGCTCCAGGGAAGGGCTAGGGAGCCTGTGGTCCTCCGGATGTTGGTGGATGACACCTCCCTTCCTCCCCGACCTTTGGCCATACACCTGGGGCTGATGGGAGTTGGAGTCCAACAACATCCACAGGGCTGCAGGTTCTCCTCCCTTGACCTAGGGAAGAAAAATCCTACATGCAGCCCACAATGGTGGCTCTCAGCAACATTTGATGCCCCGTACTCCCTTCCCAAAGCCTAGCTAGCACTTCCCCAGCTTTGAGGAGGTGGGAGGACTCTAGAACTGTGATAGAGCCTCGCACCTTCTTCCCAAAGCCCAGTGCCTCACTTGGAAAAGCTCCCCCCACACCCATGCGACAAGGCAACACACAGACTGCGAGTTCCATGTCAGAGTACTTTTGCGGCCCACTCGGTGTGAAAAGTTGGAACCAACCGGATCCAGGGAACTGCATGGAATGAATGGGTGGGCGGGCATCCTTTCTCACAGAAAGAAACTCGCCACCAATGTGGGAGCCATGCTTGACCCCAGGTTATAGTGTCTGTGAAAAGCGGCTCAACCAAGGCGTGTAAACGCAAGGGTGGTTGTTTGCGATATGCTGTTTTAAAGGTGGTTGAAGTGAGAATGGCCAGGATGGCAGGAGTTGCGGGCACGGGAAGGTGTTCAGCTTCTCCATCGCGTCACTGCAAGCTGTGTCCTCTGTACACACGCGCTCTCCCATCAAGCTTGCGCCTTCACCTCATGGCTTGCACGAGAATGTTGCCCCCCAAAACTGTGAGGCTCTTCCCATGGGAGCTGCCATGCTGGGGTTTAAGCTAGGTCATGGGTAGGCAACCTAAGGCCCGGGGCCGGATCCGGCCCAATCGCCTTCTAAATCCGGCCCGCGGACGGTGCCAGGAATCAGCGTGTTTTTTACATGAGTAGAATGCGTCCTTTTATTTAAATGCATCTCTGGGTTATTTGTGGGCATAGGAATTCATTCATTTTTCTCCCCAAAATATTTTTCCGGCCCCCACAAGGTCTGAGGATCAGTGGACCGGCCCCCTGCTGAAAAATTTTGCTGATCCCTGAGCTAGGGAGATCCCAAGTGGGTCACTGCCTTGCCTTGCCTCAGATATCAAAGCAGGAGGGCGTGCTTTGATGGAGAGCTTTCCACACCATTGGAGTGATTCAGGCGTGAGATAAGAGAAACAATTGGCACAGCTACCCACCATGCAGCCTGGGGCAGATTTATGTTTTATCATGTTTTTAATATTCTGTTGGGAGCCTCACAGAGTGGCTGAGGAAACCCTGCCAGATGGGTGGGGTATAAAGTATTATTATTATTATTATTATTATTATTATTATTATTATTATTATTATTATTATGTGCTGAGACCCTAAACTACACCAAGTCGAAGGGGCCCCATAGAATCTGTCCGTAACACTAATAGCAAGGGCAATGAAAATAGAAAAGACATCGTTTTATATTTGCATTTATATATGCACACAGACAAGGATGCAACTAAAGACTAAAAATCTCGATACCAGTGTTTCCTGAAGCTCTTACAGCAGAGGCATACAATCGTATAACACCCCCTCGCCCAGGTTTTAGAGGCTTGCCTTATACACATCTGTGTTAGTCGCTATTCTGGGTGTGCCACCACATTGTGAGAATGCAAGATCAGAGAAGCAACTCATGCAATACGCAGCCTCCCCCAAGGGCAGGAAATTATGATAATGCCTTTGCTACGTCTAAGTTATTGATTTAATTACATCAGAGGGAAAGAAGAGCTAAAACCTTTTGATTCCCTGCTCCACCCAGATATAAGGCTGTCCCAAACAAACCACAAGCTGTAACCAAGTCTTGATAGGAGTGCGTTTCGGGGAACTAAACCCCAAGCCCAAGTAGGGCTGGGCAATACTGTTTATCAATATAGCATCCAAAACCGGTTTGAAGTCCATATCAGGATATCGGTTTCATAATTTTTGACCTGGCAGGTAAAAAGGTAAAGGTAAGTCAAAGGAGACTATGGGGTTGCAGCGCTCATCTCGCTTTTAGGCCGAGGGAGCCGGCGTTTGCCCACAGACAGCTTTCCGGCTCATGTGGC